ATGGTGTGGCATGGAAGAGCATGGCATGAAATGGCACGGCATAGCCTGGCACAGCGTGGCACAATACAGCATGGTATGGTATGGCGCGGTGTGGCATGGTATGGCACAGTAGGGCGTGATGTGACATGGGATGGCATGGTGTGGTGTGGCACAGCGTGGCACCAGGCACAGCATGGTGTGGTGTGGTGTGGCATGGAAGAGCATAGCATGGCATGGCATGGCACAATACAGTATGGTATGGCATGGCGTGGCATGCTATGGCATAATAGGGCATGATATGACGCGGGATGGTGTGGTGTGGCATGGTGTGACATGGTATGACACGGGACGGTATGGCATGGTGTGGTGTGGCACAGCACAGCACATCTTGGCACAACATGGTGCAACCTGACAGAGTGTGACATGGCACAGTGTGGCACTAGGCACAGCACGGTGTGGCGTGGAAGAGTATGGCATGGCATGGCGTGGCATGGTGTGGCTCGGGGCAGTATGGCATGTCATGGTGTGGCACGGCACGGTGCAACCTGGCAACATGGCATGGCACTGCACAGTGTGGTGGGGCATGGCATGGCACATCATGGCACGACACGGTGCAAACTGACACAGCGTGGCACGGCACTGCGTGGCACCAGCCACAGCATGGTGTGGCGTGGCATGGAAGAGTATGGCACAGCATGGCATGGTACAGTATGGCATGGCATGGTATGACTTGGGGCGGGATGGTGTGGTGTAGTGTGGCACGGCACGGCACAGCATGGCACAACACGGTGCAACCTGACACAGCGTGGCATGGCACGGCATGGCACTGCACAGCGTGGTGTGGTGTTGTGTGGTGTGGAAGAGTGTGGCACAACCTGGCACAGCACGGCACGGCATGGCATGGTGTGATACAGCATGGTGTGGTGTGGCACGGCACAGGATGGCCTGGCAGGGACCGCACAGCCTGGCACTGCCCGGCACAGCCCAGCACACCACAGCCTGGTGCCAGGTGGAGGTTCCACCCCCGGTGCCACATGGGGCCGTGCCAAGCACAGGGACACTGTCCCCATCCCTGCCACAGCCCGTGGCCGGGGGATCTCCCCTGGGGTTGGCGTCCCCAAAACGCCGGGACCTGAGCGCTGCCCTGGCACCGCCACCACCGTCCCTTCGCCAGAGCAGGGACCCATGGGAGCCGAGGGAGCCTGTCCTGTCCCTGTCCTCAGCCAGGAGGGGACATGCAGGGCAGGGCTGTGCCAGGGCTGTGCCAGGCCGTGGGAACGGCGCTGCCGTGGGCACCAGTGTGGGGTGAGATGAATCAGGGCGGCTGGCGCGGGCGAGTCGGCCACATCCTGCGCTGCCGGCACGGGGCAGGTGGTGGAAAGTGTGTCTCAGCCCCACGGGACGGTCCCACAGCCTGCCGGGACGGGGATGAGAGGGCAGGGTGCAGGCAGAGTGCAGGCAGGAGAGATGCGGGCAAAGGCTGCAGGCAAGCGTGCGGACGGCGGAGGTACAGGCAGGGAAGGTGCAGGCAGGGGTGCAGGTAAGAGAGGTGCAGGCCAGGGCGCAGAGTGCAGGCAGGGTGCAGGCAGGAGAGATACAAGCAAGGGGTGCAGGCAGGAGAGGAGCACCGAGCGTGCAGACAGCAGGGGTACAGGCAGGTGAGATGCAGGCAGGGTGCAGGCCGGAGAGGTGCGGGCAGGGCGCAGGCAGGGTGCAGGCC